GTTTCTAGCATGATTAGCATGTTGCTAGCATTATTAGCATGTTATTAGCCTGTTTCTAGCATGATAAGCATGCTGCTAGTATGTTTTTAACGTGAATTAACATTGTAACAGTGGCGTTCCGTCCATATAAGCTGCGAATGCTCCGCATACCCAGGCCATTTGAGAGAATAAGTTCACGGGGTTAATATAAACATGATTATAAGTTGAGCCCTTGTTATTTAAAATGTAACTTAAAGCTTAAAGAGTTAGGAATAAGTATGTAATATAATTTATTTGCCAAACGGCAGTAATTTTCTGTAAATCTACGTCAGTTATGGAAGCTTCTGGGCGAGCGGATTCTCTGCAGCTTTCTCGTCTCTGCTCTATTGCTATGACTCTTCAGGATTGTAGCGCATACTCATTGGCTTGCTGGTCTGCAGCTGATTCCATGCGCGAGGTAAGCTGTCCGCAAACCGCTCGCCCAAGCGGAAAAATGTGCTGTTCCTGTCAGATCTCGATTGCCGAAAATCACATTGTGTTTGATGCAAAACCAACTCGACTAAATCAAAAGGAAAAAAGAAATGGTGTAACTGTATATTTTTATGTTTTCTCAAGCAAATCAAATTTTAAAAGTTCACTGAAAACATATCTTCTTACATTTTTGGTCATAGACAACGTATGTTGAAGATATAGCCTATACGTGGTAATCACATTTTTTTTTATAAAAACGTGGGCTATATAAAATTGTAATAATTACAAGCAGGAAAAAAAAAGAAACAATCCTGTGAACATTTTGAACATTAAGATGTTATTGTTCGCTTTGTTTTGCATATGCTTGTGTTGCTTGCAGTTAAAGTCCTTCTCTGCTTTTATTGTTGTTTGCAACATTGCAACTTGGCAATATTTTAAATATATGTGACCCTGTCATGGTTGTACTACACTGTGGAGCGAGGAAAATTCACAGTAAACACAGTCTTTAATCCTTCCAACACGAGGACAGGATGGCGCTCAGGAGGAGCGGACACTTGAGGGTGCTTACGAGGAGCTGGCACTGGAGGGCGCTTTCTAGGAGTGGGCACTGGAGGGCACTTTCTAGGAGCGGGCACTCTGGACTGGATTCAGGAACTGAAGCCCTCTCCTCTTCGCTTTGGCACTTTCGCCGTGCCATACTCGGCTCACCCTCAGCCGCGGTGCAGAGCTCCTCTACGCACTCACACCGTCCGCGGCATTCTTCCTCGAGGCGGGCATTGTCGCCGGCTCTTGCACCTGATCTGACGGCTTGGGCTCTTCTTCCGGGGCGATCCTCCGCTCAGTTGCTCGGCATGGTTGAGGCTGGCGCCATAGAACGCGCAGAGCACGTCGTCCGTGTAGGTGGTGAGATGGGCAATAGCCAGAAACAGTCTGGCATGACCCTCGAGCGATCTCTCCCCCTGCTCCAGCAGGAGGAGGATGTATTCAGGGGCGGGCGAGAGGATCCATAAGGAAAACAATGGGAGGATAAAAACAAACACTGAGCGAAAAACAGAAATAAAACGGAGGGGAAACACGCAATTTAAACTGTTGTTGGTCCGGTATTCTGTCACGGTTGTACTACACTGAGGAGCGAGGAACGAGGAACACAGTCTTTAATCCTTCCAACACGGGGTATACAGGGCAGACAGGAACACATGTAGCACAAGATGAACACTCAATACCGGACAAGGGAGAATGGCACAAAACCAGTCATAAGGTTCACATTTTTTGAGATTGAGAGTTATACATAATCTGAAAGCTGAATAAATAAGCTTTCCATTGATGTATGATTTGTTAGAATAGGACAATATTTGGCCGAATTACAACTATTTGAAAATCTGGAATCTTAGGGTGCAAAAAAATTTAAATACTGAGAAAATCGCCTTTAAAGTTGTCCAAATGAAGTTCTTAGCAATGGATATTACTAATCAAAAATAAAGTTTTGATATATTTACAGTAGGAAATTTACAAAATATCTTCATGGAATATGATCTTTACTTAATATCCTAATGATTTTTGGCATAAAAGAAAAATCGATAATTTGGCCCATACAATGTATTTTTGGCTATTGCTACAAATATACCTGTGCTACTTATGACTGGTTTTGTGGTCCAGGGTCACATATTATTATTTGGGTACTTTGCATATTGGAGTAGTGTCACCCTGTAACAGATCGGCCAGGCTCCACCACCACCCAATCACAATGATCCCTCTCACCTGAGTTCTGAGCACCTGCACCTGTCACTAATCAAGCACCTCATTACCAGCCTGCATAAAAGCACAAACCTCAGACACCCTCACAGTCCGGTCTCGTATACACGTAGAGGACTCAATGACTTTGCTACTACTGCCATTTGAATACTTCCTGCAATACTTACATCCTGTGTTCCTCCTAATGTCTCCTCGTCTCCTGTTCCTCCTTGTCCAAGGATCGCTGAGGTGTGTGCTCCTCCTGCCTACATTCCAGCTCCTGTTAAACCAAAGACTCGGATTCCCCCACTCATCATATCCTTCGAACTATTCATTCACCATCACATCCTCTGGACCCTACCCCAGTACTCTCTGTGACCAAATAAACCTGTTTTATATATACTAACCTGTTGTGTCAGACCTCTTCCGTTACACACCCGTGTGGAGGAGTTTTAACTCCTATTCACTGGGAATAAAAATCATTCAGCAGATGCAGAGACATATAGACTGGGGGAATCCCCCCATCTCCCCACCATCTGAATATTAGCTATCATAACGTAACTAATGTTATTTGGCGGTTTTTACTTGGAAACCCAGCTATATTTTTCTAGCATTTGAATAACAATGGATAAACCTGAAACGGTAGAAGGATTGCAGATTAATTTTATTAACGAAAAAGGTAGGAAATGTGCATACTTATAAATCGACACCTGTCACGGTGGTTCTTATTTGTCATCTGTGATTCGTTCACTCATTGAGTGTGTCCTAAAAACCGGTGGGGGGGGTTAATCTTATCACTCAGCATACCCAGTTAGAAAAGTCACTGCTCACTACTGTATTGTAAATGACAAAAAGACAGCTAAAAACCAGGTAAAACCAGCTGATTCAATTAAAAAACAGCTAGAGACCACTTAAAACCAGCTAAAACCAGCTGATTTAGCAAAAAGACAGCTAAAAACCAGTTAAAAACAGCTAAAACCAGCAAAAACCAGCTGAACCAGTCAAAAACCAGCTAAAACCAGCCTAGGCTAGTTGTCTAGTCTTAGCTGGTTTAAACTTGGTTGGTCTTTTAGCAGGTCTCCCAGCTTGACCAGCCTGACCAGCTAAAAATGTGCCAAAACCACTTTAAAACCAGCCTGGAAGCAGCCAACCAGCTAGATAGATAGATAAATTAAAAATATTTGATAGTGGAAACTTAAATGAGTTTGAATGGATTAGAAATAGTACATAGAAAGGAAGTTTGATTGAGTCTAATGGGCTTCAGTGTGTTTAGATTAAAATTTTTGACAGTTGGAGTTTGAATAGTCTTGGCTCATTTGAACATTCCGTCAATGCAAGTCTATGTGATTTTTATGATTTTTAATCTTCAGTTTTAGGAAAACCGTAAATCTGATCAGTCTGAAAAGATATAGCAACCTGAGTCAGAACAGTATGAAGAGATGGGCTGAGTTTGGTGGTTCTAGCTTTAAAGCTCTAGGAGAAGTAGCGTACAGAAATGTAGTCTAAGAAGAATTATAAGAAGAAGCTGCTTGTGTAGAATATCAGTAAGTTGGCTTTTTCAAGCCAACTTAATTACCTTGTTTTCTTAGTGTAAAGAACATTCTAAAAATCTAAACAACCTTTTTCCATTATAAAGATCCTTTTGTAGAATAGAAAGGTTCCATTGATGTCAAAGGTTCTTCATGGAACCATCATGCTGGGCGATATGGCCTAAAATCAAAACCTCGATTAATTGAACACTTTACCTCGATTACAATTATTGAATGTTTATTTTATTTATATATATATATATACATATATTTAAAAAAACTATTATTTGCCCCTATAGTTCATTAAAGGTTTGCACTATAAATGAAGAGTTTATTTGCAAAAACAGATCATGTTTTTTATTATGTTATCATGTTTTTATTGTGTTTTATTGTGTTAGTTAGCTGTATTTTTTAGTTATTTTATCTAATCAAAATAACCCAACTGCAGTTCGATTGAGATTAATTGGAAGGCACAATGATCTTTGAAATTTGTTAAAAATGGAGTTATCTGTTTTTGCAAATGAACTCTTCAAATATAGCTTTTCAACTATTAAAGGTGATATTTTTTTCTAATGAAAGAGTGTATTTCTTACCTTTGTGATTTTAAAATATTTGAAGGAAACAAACTATTTATGGTTATTTGTTGAATATTTTGAACAACTGAAATCAAAGATTGCTTGAAATGAAGACGTCTTATGAAAAAAGTCACATTTCAGTTTAATTGTAAAAAGCAAGTTTCCTAAAAAAAAAGAAAAAGAAAATAACTTTCATTTTTTGCAAAACCCGCGAGACGCAGCACTTAGGAATGGTTTTAAAAAATGAAGCGCACCGCACAATGCCTACTCTGCCAAGGTGCCGTCAAATACAAAAGTTATCATACCAACCTGCTATTGTAACCAAAAGCTTGCAATGCTTGCCCCGCCTCCAGGGTCTTCTGATTGGTCCACTGTTTTAGAATGGACTTTGATGAGCGCATTGATATGTATACATACACTCACGTGCGAGATGCTGCAAAACACATGAGTGCAATGGTCACATCCGTATAGTGCTGAGTACACACACGGTAGTATGTTTTTAAGGGGAAAGTATTAATAGAGTAAAAAAAAACAAATAACCGACATGGGAAAAATAAGCTGGTTAGAGGTTCTGAATTTCGGTTTTGATTTATTTTCGATTAATCGTCCAGCCCTACATCATGCCAATATGGAACCTTTATTTTTAAGAGTGTAAGCATTTACATATTGGATGCAATGTGAACAAATACAGTGTCAAACCCAGAGAGGTTCTTACCAAGCCATGTGTTCATCTTCTCTGAACTGCAGTGCTGCAGCAGAGGCTCGATCAGCTCATCCACGTCCCCTTTAGGTGCTTCTTTAGTGAACTTCTGCTCAGACAGAAAGAGAAACAGAACAGCAGCTCATTCAACATTTTCTTATATGCACCTTGAGGCCAAACATAATAAATCCAACTGTACCTTGTTCAAAAAAACACAAAGGCTGAGCGCTGCCATACCTCCACTGTGATGTGCAGGGGATCCACGATCTGCCAAACCATAAGGGACAGGATGTCGATAACCAGCAGGACTCCCACGGTGGCATAGAGCTTCCAGGGCTCCAGGTGCTGCTGGGATATAAAAAGACCAGTGAATCAACTTTCCATCCAGGACAGTGAAAGACACAGCTTGCACCGACATCATATAGAGCATAAGTGCAGAGAGCCTGAAGGGGAAACAATGGCCATTATCAGGATGCCAATTCAATCCGCCAGACGGTGGCTGCACTTTATGGTTTAAGTCAGGAAAGTGTCTTTAATGGATTTCGGCTGAGACCATAACACTGCAACAAAATCAATACTCGTTCTTTTTTTTTTGTTAGCAATTAAACATAAAAAGCATTTATTTAAATAGCAATATAAAAAGCGTTTATGTTCTCTGTGACTCATATTGTTTATCGTCACTTTTGAGAGCTCATAACGCTCAAACACACCTTCACAACGGCGAGGATGAAAGAACTCACGCATAGCCAGACAATTGACTCAAGGAATTTTCTGGGTTCAAAACAAGTTAAGCTCTATATATGGCTTGCTATTGATTACCAGAGAACTTTGACTCATGTCTCTGTTTGAAAAAATGAACAGGAACGTACTAGAAATGGAAATTTAGGGGGTTTACAAGCAAAAATGTGAAGCTTGCATTTTTGTTCAAGTGCTTATATTAAGCTCTAAAGGGGCTTCAATCATCCTTTAAGTGGTGGAACTACTTTTCTAGGTGGATGAGCTTCTGGTTTAGTATTGCTGTAATTTGTGGATGTGTTTTTCTCTAGGTAAACAGACCCTCTCTGGTGTTTATATTATATGAATGTTACAGGCTTTACTGCTTGGACATTTTTAGCAACATAGTAATAACAGAAATCGAAATATTCAGTATAATTTTGCACAGACAAGATTAGTAATAATTTACATTAGTCTGTTAACACACATACTATACTCAAAGGTTTGAGGGCTGATTTGCTGTCAAAAACATTTCTTATTATCAAAATGGTTGAAAATGGTTGTGCTGCTTAATGTTTTTGTGGAAACCATCATTTTACCAACCATACCTTTTACACTTTTGTACCTTTTAGGTACTAATATATACACATTAGGCACTAATATGTACATTTAAAATATCAATAAGGTGTACCTTTTGAAAAGGTACCGCCCCATGACAACTTTTGTACCTTTATTTCTGAGAGAGAAGATTCTTTGATTCTTTGCTAGAAAGCTCAAAATACCACCATTTGTTTGACATAAAAATATTTTGTAACAATGTAGAGTAAATGTTTTTACTGTCATTTTTATAAATTTAATGTATTAATGCTAAATAAAAGTATTAATTTCTTTTTTTTTTAAAAGACTGGTTAGTCTCATGGCTATACTTTCACAACAGACAGTTTCCCCATAGGCTTCCATCTTAAGTATGTTTTTACAAACTGAGAGAAGTCTAAATTATTTTCTGTTCTGTTTTTTGGCATTTCATGAGACATTATCTGAGGTATTTAACTTGCTTTGAATGTGTTTAGGGAAGATTTTCATGACAATTCACACCATAAAATCCCCATCACGAGTTCCTCTGTACTTAAAATAGAATGTTTGTCCCAAATATTTCTTTCTGTCTTATGGTTTATAATAAATTCCGAAACTATTCTTTATTCCAAAATTTCCCTTTTGTATCCCTGACAATGACTTTGAAGAATCCACTTACTGATGCCAAATTGGTGTTTGTTTTTTAACTTTTCTTTTTAACATAAAACATTCTCAATAGTGACGCCCCAGTCAAAGAAGCACGTTTGAAAATGACTAAGCTGTCAATTTGATGCCCCACTGCGCATCACAGATCATTTCTCAATCTCTGAATCCTTTCTTTGTGCAGAGGAAGAGAAAGAGAGAGAGAGAGAGAGAGAGAGAGAGAGAAAGAGAGAGAGAGAGAGAGAGAGAGAGAGAGAGAGAGAGAGAGAGAGAGACCCACAGGCGGAACAGTCCGTCAATCAGATCAGAAACAGCCTCTCCCTACAAGAGGTGGAGCTGGTGGAGCTCAGGGAACTAACACTCTCCCATGCAATATCCAGCGAACGCCTACAACACCTGGACAATAAAATCAGTCACCTCACACGAGACTTTGAAACTAGTGTTGAGGAGCTAAAAAGAGAGATATGCAAACTGCAGCAAGATAGAGAGACCATGAATAAAGAACTGGAAACAGTCAGGCAGGAGCTGCTGCTTAGAGATGGAGAAATACAAAGCCTGAGAGAACAGACAGAGAGCCTCAGCTGTATCTGTCAGCAGCGGCCCAGCTCTCCCACCACCCAGACAGCAGCAGCACCCGAGTCCAGCACTCCAGCAGCAGTGCCACGGACACCACAGACAGAGGCCCCCGAGGGCCCCCAAGAGCAAGGAAGTGACCCACAGAAAGCAGAAGTCATCCTCTTAATCGATTCAAATGGCAAATTTATCAATGAAAAACAGCTCTGAAACCTTTCTTTGTGCAGAGAAAGAGAGAAAGAGAGAGAGAGAGAGAGAGAGAGAGAGAGAGAGAGAGAGAGATAGCTCTCCACAGGGGCTCATGACAAGCTCCTCTCCATCACTAGATGGACATTCATGAATGCTTAATAATAGGCATTATGTACTTATCCTGAAAATACCTTTCTCCTCCGTCTTTATCTCTATCTTTTCCTTATTTTAGTTATTATGGCTGCTGTGCATTTGTGTGATTGGTGATGTGAGGTCTGCACTTCAAAACATCACTTTCTTAATATTTTTGTTTAGTCTTTCTGTAAAATATTGAAACATCCTTAAAATAAGATACATTTAATTGAGAAAACACTTTTTTCATTTTTTAAGCATAAATCCATCACAATTTAGTGAAGTATATGTACAGAATCATAAACATTTTTAGAAAAATAACCTTTGTTCAAGATACTCTACATTAGTTAACAAGAACTAACAATGATAACTATTTGCATAGCTTTTATTAACTCTTAGTTATTGTTAATTTCAACATTTATTGATCAATTTAATGCACTGTGAGCTAGAATGAACAATAAACAACTGTATATGTATTTACTAACCCATGATTAATGAATGCTGCAAAAATATCGTGCTCATTGTTAACTGGTGTTAACTAATACATTAACAAATGGGACCTTATTGTACAGTGTTACAAAAAAATCAAACATAACGACTGTAAATGATCTTGTGGTGATGGAGTGACTGCTGGCACATAGGGCTGTACGGAGGGCTCATCGAGCTGTGCTGTATGATAAATGTGCTGTTTAAGGATGCTCAAGGACAACGGGGGACCCATCTCTATGAGATCAGACAGAGAGACGGTGGCTAAGCCAGAGAGGCAGTGGAAGTGAGATGGAGATCTAAAGATGATAACAGAGAGAGGAACGAGATACATACTTTATAAAGAACAATAATTCCACTATGATATATTGATCATTCCAGCGGCGTACTGAAAGCCCTTGACACGACAAGTCAAGAGTAAATCCCTATGAGGGTTTAAAAGGACAGATAGTTTGTCTTGAAACACCTCAAATTAACCTCACGCAGTCTTATTTTAGTACCACTTAGACACTATTATATGTTTTTAGTAATATTTTTTATTAATATTAGCATGTTAATATTAGTTATGGAAATCAACTAAGATTTTAGTTGTGTTAGCAATAATAACTCTGGTTCTCTACTCACCTTTCTCTTGTCTTTCTTCTCATCCTTCTTTGTGAACACAGTGTGAACCCACCAGATCTTTGTGAACATACTTCCATAAGCCAAACTGAAGCCAAGTCCAAGCAGCCACAAGCGGAACTAGAAAAACAATTTTAAAAAAGCCAATATTTCAGTGTTTCACTTTAAAAGACTTCAAAGTACAAGTACTGAAATATAATAAGGATGCACCAATATAAAAATTATTGCCAGTATTGATCAGCATATAATTATTCTAATGTTATGGGAGATAAACAATAAATGCCCAATATTAAAATCCAAAAAATTCTAAAATTCAAATTTTATTGTATTCCGTTTTGCCACGTCACAACATTATAATGTACAACATGAAAAATTCAGTGTTATTAAATTTGTTTTAGTTATTTTAAAGATTAAGTTTAAGTGTCGCCAAAGGTGAATTAAATACGAGAAAAGTTTAATAAAACTAAAACTTTAATAATAGTGCATTTATTAAAATTAAACTGCAAAAACAGCTCGTTCTATTCTTCAGGCTTTGCTAAGATACTGTTACAGAAAAAAGGGATGGTGCAAACTAAATTGAACCTGACGGCAAGCCTGTGACCTATGAGTAAGTGTAAGTGAAGAGGGCATATATATAGATGTCTGAAAGCAAGGCAGTGAAACAAGTCTGTTTAATAGTTAAGGGTCTGAGAGAGGGTGAAAAATGGTCATGAAAAACTAAATAATTCATATTTTTTTGATGCAAGAAACCTTGACTAACATTATCAGTGCGCCTCAGGGAATAAAAAATAAAAATGAAGAAAAAATACTCCCTGATATGTCTCCTTAAAGTCCTTCTGAAGAAGAGTGTTCAGGGAGGTTTTATAAACTCAATTACTAGTACTATAAATAACATCAATATAAATGACAAAACGGTGTTACCCAGAATGCCTGAGCGCTTACCTGACAGACCACAGGAAACTGAGAGTTGCGTACATGCAGTCCATCAATTCCCAGAGGAAAAACTGCAGCCAGAGCCATCATACAGCCCACTGCTGTCATGTTATTCAGGTACGGCTGGGAGTTTTGAATGTACCTTTACATATAGACATACATACTGCTGAATTTGCAAAAAGATGTGTATGTTCAAAAAACAGGTTCATACATTGAACAGATGCTAATGTAGTGCCTGCCATATACTGTGATATATATAGCTTAGAATGATTACCTCATGCATATTTTATATAATATGGTGTTCCATGGTACTTTTTGGTCATTTTTGTTAGCATAGTGAACTCTGATTCAGCTCATTTAGTTAATCTCTCACAGTGGAATAGGACTTACACTCCTCTGTCTTTTTATCACACAAAGATTCATAGACGTGCTCACACATTTACTCACATGCATGATGAGATTTGTAAGTGTTCAGGGTATTAGCTTAAGCTGTCTGCTGAGAAAATCTTGTTGAAAGTCTAAGTGTCACTAAGATAAAAAGACTGAAACACCAAACATTAGTCTGAATGTGTCGGTGGAGTTTGAATATGTGTGAAATGCTATCGCTATTCGTAATGCATTCGCCTGTTTGAAACCTGCATGTTTCTACACACACAGAATGCATAAATATGTGAATGAGACCCTTGGAAACACCAGCTAATTGTATGCATGTATCACTCTGTCCTCTGCACTGAACTCAAACGTGAGAACGCAATATAAATGAACACATGCCTGCAGGCAGGAGCGTATACTTCCATCCACAACTAAACATACCTGACGTTGCTGTTGTAGATGTTAAAGGTGAGGCAAACGATCCCCATTAAAATGCCCAAGCCAGCGAAAACAGACACAGAGACGAAGAGTTTTTGTGACAGATATCTGAACTTCTGAATCACCACCGTCTGGTCAGCAGGTGGATCAGAGCCTGGAGAGAGAAATGATGATTTTTAGTATTAGATTATTTTATACAGTATTACATTGAAACAATTTAGAAATACTTTCATGAATAACATTAAAAACATTATTAGAGGTTCTAGCTATTTAGTCTTTCTAAATAAGGGCTTTTGGAAGAAATTATTAGGGAAAGAGGGAGAGGGAAGGGGACTGAAGCAGGTATATATATATATACACCAGAGTATGAGAGCGGAGCTAGGAGCGGATTTTTTGAAAGTCTGAGCGTTGAGGTTCCCTCTAATAGGCTCACTTTGATGCTGCGATGACGTCATCGCTTTGGGGTGTGACGAATGTCTGAAGCCCTTATACCATCACGCCAATTCATTGGCCAAATAGCGCTTAGCACCGCCCCAAAGCGCACGTAGGTGAGCTATATAGCGTGCTGCAGGAGCGGATTTTTTGAAAGTCTGAGCGTTGAGGTTCCCTCTAATAGGCTCACTTTGATGCTGCGATGACGTCATCGCTTTGGGGTGTGACGAATGTCTGAAGCCCTTATACCATCACGCCAATTCATTGGCCAAATAGCGCTTAGCACCGCCCCAAAGCGCACGTAGGTGAGCTATATAGCGTGCTGCATGCTATTTTCATCAGATTTAATTTCCTTCAGGAAGCGAATCATCTGTCGCCCGTAGGAAAGCAAAAAAAAAGAAGGTCGTGTTCTTAGCTATTTCTCAAAAAGAGCAGTTTACTCCTCTTCAGCGGACACGATGAGCTACAGGAGATGCATTGAGCCATGTGACAGGTTCATCGCAGGAGGAGACACTCATGATAGGTGCGTGCAATGTTTGGGCCTACAGCATGCCCAAGCGGCGCTTAGCGGCCTTTCTGATTGTCGACACTTTGATAGCCTATGGCTAAAAGCACTGCCCTCGAGGTTCACGGCCTTCTCAAATAAAGTAGGCCTCGCGTCTAACCCCCGCTATCCCGTTTCTGCGGTTGCCAAGGCGCCGCACAAGACGGTCGCTTGGGGTGACGCATGCGAGCCGAGGCGTTTAGAGGGCGAGTCAACAGAGTTTTCTCCTTTTCTCTCACTCTCCGGGTTATGTGCAAGCGCTCGTGGTCTTCATCAATGATAATTTGCGGCCTACCCCGGAAGCTCGCGATGCGATGTCTTTCGGTTGTATGCCGTATGATGAAGACGTGCTGTCCACAGCAGCCTCCGATTCGGAGGATTTATTGGGCGAACTGTGCAGTTCTCTCCCTCCGAGTGGACAGGAGAAACGTACCTCCCTGTCTTACAGCGAACTATTAGATGTTGTAACGCGCGCTGTGGATAAGCTGGGGTTAGAGTGGGATAGTGAGCCGGCGCAAATTCAGTTGAAACTGGACGCCCTCTGCTACCGTCCAAGCCGTGTAGGGTTACTTCCGCTTTGATCTGGAAATCTTACATGGCCGCTGGGCAGGCCGCGGCTACACTCCATTCTATGGGTGTACTCCAGGCTTATCAGGCAGATGTGCTCAAGGAGCTGGACGAGGGAGAAGGCCTGACTCCTGAGGCCGTTAAAGAGCTCAGACGAGCTACTGACTTGGCGCTTAGGGCTACCAAGCACACAGCTCGGGCAGTGGGCAGGTCCATGGCAGGGTTAGTGTCAGCTGAGCGCCATCTTTGGCTTACTCTCACTGACATTAAGGAGAAGGACAGGACCTTTCTCCTGGATGCCCCCATTTCGAGTGACGGTCTGTTCGGAGACTTGGTCACTACGGTCGTGGAGAAGTTTAGAGCAGCGAAACAGCAGTCCGCTGCGTTCCGTCAACTCATCCCTCGCAG